AAATAACAGGGATGTCCCATAAGGGAGCAGTGACAGGGCAGATGCTTCTACCCTGGCAGCGTAGGGGAGACTTGTAGGTTAAAGCAAAGAACATCTTCAGTAAACCTGCCCTCCACTTCAACTTTTCAATACTTTTTGTATTAGATGCTGAAAAATGCCCTATATATGCATACCTATATATATAAGTGCATAGAAAGCCCATGACAAAAGTCCTCCGAGTCCAGCACATGCATACCAACAGCACTGCTTGAGATGTTTGCTTACTTCCACTAAGGCGGTTTAGGGCAAATGCAAAATTTGCATGAGGAACCTCTTGACTCACATCTCACTCTTAGCCAGAGGTTAAATATCAGATAGGTATTTCTGGGAGATGGGAGTGTTTGTTATTTTGTATGTATATGTGTGGATTTTACCTTCCATAATTCCCAGCCAACCTGATTAGTGGCATGCTTGCTGGGAGTTGTAGTTAAAAACAGTAACTCCTTCTAGTTTTGCGAAACTGCTATCTAAGTGACTCCTGTCAGTTTCCAGCACACCCTGGGCATGAACAGGTCTTCATGACTAGGGCTGTAATGCAATGGATAGTTTTTCTCCCATAGCGTTAAATTCTGCACATCCCAAAAGGCACCATTCTTATGCTGGGAAAGAGAAAGTGCTTTCAACTCTACTACCTATCATTCATGGAGCATTCTGTCTTATTAATATTTTAACATTTGCGCTTTTGCTTTCCATTGATTATTTATAGAAGTAAATCAAATGCTCAACTAGCATGGAGCAACAGCTAGCAGCATTACAGCATGCTGCCTTGTGAAAGCTCTGTAGAAGGATGTCATTCAGGACCACTCCAATATGTGGGTTTTGGATGTATCTTTCCAGATTTCCTACCTTACGTGGAATCCCAGAGTTGGGGTGGTCTCTTGCAAGCCAGCTAGTTTAAATAATACCTCCTCTATTTTGGAAATTCAGAGCAGGGCCATTCCCAAGAGACAGCTATCCCAGCTTCTGTTTGAGGACATCCAGCCAAAACTGCTGTGCCTGCAGCAAGTTCATTGTCCAAACATGGCATTTCTGGTTCAAAGGATAAGGTAGCAGGTGATTAGAAAAACACACTTCTGCGTGAAACCCTGGATAGCCATTGCCAATCTGAGAAGACTAAAGAAAGGGAGTCCTATGCCCAAAAATTGTGGGTGACCCCCCCACACCTTGATCTGTGAACCACCAAGGGAATGGATGGTATGGAACTAGCTGGCCCTTAATACCTTGAATTGGTTAAAGGAAAGTTTCTATCCCATAATTCTCTAGGCTCTGATAATTAATCTGCAAGACATTGTGTGTGCTAGTTTAGAGATTCTAGGAGTCTAGAAAAATATTTTTTGATAGATAGATAGATAGATAGATAGATAGATAGATAGATAGATAGATAGATAGATAGATAGATAGATAGATAGATAGATAGATAGATAGATAGATAGATAGATAGATCGATCGATCGATCGATCGATCGATCGATCGATCGATCAAGTGGTGCCTCACTAGACAGTTACCCCGCATGACAGTTTTTTCGCTAGACATTGACTTTTTGCAATCGCTGTAGTGATTCGCAAAACAATGGTTTCTATGGGGGAATTTCGCTGGACAATGTTTGGTCCCTGCTTCGCAAACCAATTTTCACTAGACAACGATTTTGACAGCTCCCTCCGTGCTCGCAAAACAGATGTTTTCAGGACCTAAGCTTCACAAAACAGCAATTTAAACAGCTGATCGGTGGTTAGCAAAGCAGCTTTCCTATGGCCGATCTTCACTAGACAACGACAGGTTTCAATGCATTCCAGTGGGGAAATGCTGTTTGCTAGACAATGATTTTGCTAAACAGCGATTTCAGTGGAACGGATTATCGTCGTCTAGTGAGGCACCATTGTAGATATGCTCAACCATTTGCCTACCCCTATAAAATGGAAATGATAATTGCTTGTCTCCCGGGGTGATGTCAGCTTCAAGCAATTTGTGGCTCAATGATCTTCAGTTCCTTGCACGAAAGGCCTCTTGTAATATTTAGGTGCAAACTATAATGGAACCTTTTTTTTGTCTTCTTTAGGCTCTGTTGCCTGATTGCTTTCCCCCTCTTTCAGCTGGTGCATTTGTCAATTTTGCATGCCCAACTTAACAATAACTCGGCTACCTGCTGAGGGGGAAAGACAAAAATAGAACATTGCAGAGTAAAACTAGAAAGTATTTGACCTATAAAGCAATTCACACAATCTTCAACAAAACACTTTACCTGTTGCTTTGAAGGTCTAATTGTAATGTTTCGTTAGGCACTGTGGGGTGTGTGTAGCAGTTTTTCCCCCTGTGGATCTATAAACACATTCCAGCAGATTATGTCCTATACATTG